GTCTCCTACCCACCCCCCCCCGCCGCCGCCCCCGCCCCCCGCCCCGCCCCGACTTCCTTCGGCTCCCCCCCAGCGTCTGTTTCTATTCCGCCGGGCTGCAGCCAACTTTTCTGCCAACTCGTCCACTTTGGTCTTCCAGGTAGCGCGTAGCTTGTCGACCTTAGTGTTCCAGTCGGAAAGGAACCGTCTGCGTAGTGCATCACGGGTCACAGTCACACCCAAACGGTATGGTATAAATGCCGAAAAGGGGGTGGCACCAAGAGAAAGTTTACTCGGGGGCGCATGGGTGTCGTGCGAAATGGGGGCTGGGCACACTGCCGTAAAGATGGCCTGGTTATTATCTAGTGGGTGCAGGTACCCGTACGGTTAGGCTGTGGATTCACCGTAGTGACTACGCGAAACACCGTGCGTGCAGAGACTACCCAGGATCCAGGAATCCGTGTTACAACAGCAAACCCACGCACCTGGCACGTCACCCTGCTCAGCAAAAGGACGAAACGAAGACCACGTCACGCAAGCACCAAGCGGTACTATAGGAGCCACATGTACCGGCAACTAAGCATGCGACGATTTCAGGCAGCCACGGTAAACACACCCGCCCAGGACAGCCTACACCGCTCGTGAGAGGCGAGCCACCTCACCTCCGTTCCTCGAAGCTATTCTGCCGGCCGTGTGCGATGTCCTCGCCGCTCTCCCCGTCTTCGAGGAGAAAGCCTCCGCCGTCGCCGTATTTACCACCACCATCGCCGGCTCAGAAAGCAAAAAACACAAAACGAGAACAAAATCGTCCCGCGTACCGTCAGCCGCGGCGGACAACAGCAACGGAAGGAGGTTATGGGCGTGACCTTTTATGCGGCGGTACGCCGAGTGGCTACGACTCAACAACACGAGAAAGAAGGGCCTGACAAATCGCGCCCGCGAACGGTTGAACGCAAAAATAAGGAAGCCTGACAAGCGCAAAGCGCCGTAAGGCAGCACCAGCCACAGCACCGGAAACGGGACAAAAAAATAGTGGCGAAACGTTCCTGCCTCGAAGCGATGACACTGATTCGCATGGTACACCTATTCCGCCCACAGGACAGACAACGGTGAAAACAACGCGCTCCGAGACACACGAGAGGTCACGCCACCGACAACGACGCACCGTAACACGTTTCTTCTGTCGTCTCACATGCAAGGACGTAGCCTTCCGACAGGCGTCGCTGGTCGAGGATCGTGTTCGTCGTTGCCGGGATGGGTGCCCAAGACCGTTTCTCGGCGAGATTCATCGTCGCCATCGCGCCCACCGCCGAGTGGAGGAAGACGTGCTGGCGGGGAAGGGTCCCCGCAGAGCTGTACAAGTGAGCCACGCAGACCTTTGATTCGAGACGGAGAAGATCAGGGTACGGTCGCAAGGGTGGTCGAACGTTTGTGAGGAGGAAGGCATTCCAACGGGATTGTTCCTTGTCCAAGCCAGGAAGAAGCCAAGCAGTTTCTCAATGGTGCATTCTCGGGTAGCCACCAAATCAACAACGGGTGCCTTAAATGATAGCACTTATGTTTCGTTCCGTTGAGAAACAGATATCGAAAGTGATGCTTGCGCCAATGGTTGCATTATGTGATCCCTTTCGGTGGACCCGCGGAATGAAACGACAAGGGCAACTGAACAATCAACGGCTGCGCCGTCCAAAACACCGGCGCACATGACGCAGGCAACGCGTTTCGACGAGCGTCATCAAAGAGCACAGGCCATGGCAGCAGACGAACAAACGAAATGCTTCAGTACCGCTTAACATATGCCTAGTAGATGAAGCATTGAGCCACAATAACACTGAATACCGAAGCTCGGAATCAAAGCCCACCAGCTCAAGTGCAACGGATGCCGCGCACAACCCCAGGAGGAGCCACGCGTCCTGGAACGGAGCCCCGTCATGTAAAAAGGTGAACCCCTTGGCGATGATCAGGACCAAGTTGAAAACCTCCCACATCAGCGGGAAGCGTAGGCTCATCCGCCTAACGAAGCGACGACACAGCGATTGTGTTGGGGGATTGTTTGCGCAGGGCCCGCGCGATCGTCCAAAGGTTGGGATAGGTGTCCGGGTTGAGATGTGGGGGTCTTGTGGTCGGGAAGTTGACATGGACGGGTATTCGAGGAGGAGTTGGGCAGACTGTGAGGGACGAAGGCAAGGAGGACGGGTTGTGGTAACACGCCCGCCGTTTTGCACAAAGACCAAATTGCACAACATGACGGCATGCAACAGCAGCAAGGCTTGTCCCTCGCCGCGGGTGGGAGTAGATAACCGCTTGTGACGGCGGTGTAAAAACTGTGGAGATACACGTGAGCACCGACAACCGCGGCGGTACCTAGAAAGGGTTGTATGCATGTGGGTGCCATATCTAGGCTGAACTGCAACAAACTCTTGACCAATTAATTTTCAGCCCGCACGCTTCTTTCGGCACGGCAGTGAGTGCCAACCTGAGCACGAACCAACGAGTACAGTAGGTGACGTAAGATACCATATCCCCTCTCGGATCAATTTTCAAATCTCGACTACTCCACGACGTATGCATACAGGATACACAAATCAAAATGACACGTTTTTTGAAAGCTCGCTACCAGACGGTTCCAACGCCGCCCTTTCTAACACCGCCGTTCTTTCTACGGTGGAGCAAACAAGCGTTTGAAATCAGAATATCAGTCAACGGGGTGTGATATCTTGTGCCACCTTCGGTGAATAAGGCGTGGCCTTTCCCAAGGGTTTCACCATCGGATGAAGGACAAGCATTAGAATAGTCTAAAAGTCTAGCAATTCTCGGAAATTAACGGGAAAAATCCTGCGTGCAAACTGCGAGACACGCTGCTGTTGTGGTGATACCAAACGAGCCAAAAGTTCCTACAACGGGGTGGAAGACGCACACATGCTGCTGTGCGTGACTGCCACACATGATGAAATTCGAAGTATCCCACCCATCAGCCTCTCATTTTGAGTCCAGACGTTTCCGGTTGGAATCTCGGTGTGTGGAAGCATGCAGGTATCATGATGCAGGGCGTGGACTCGCTTGTACACTTCACTGACTCGCGAGCGACAACCCCAACAAAACCCGAACAAAGACGATGGAGTCACCGCCTCTGCACACGGAGTCGAGGATCACCTGCCTTGTTGTCAACACAAATCATCTCTCTCTTCACCTTTGGCAGTAGAAAACAGCAGCGAAGAGCATCAGAAACAGCAGCCGGATGCCCATGAAAGAAACCAGTATCAGGGATGGAGCTATATCGTTGGTCGCCACGAAGAGGGCGAGGCCATCCAGCGCCACGGCGCCGACAAGAGGCCAAAAGAACATCGTATCGTCGTGTTGGCAGGGTTGATCGACCGACCGAATCAAAGCCTCGATTCTTGTTCTCTCTTGTAAAATCGAAGTTGTTCAAGTCGCTTGTTTCTCCTGTTAAAGACTGCGGACCCTAAGCTGCCACGCCAGAGCATAGGCGCTCCACGCACACACCCCGTGCACTACGTGTACAGCAGTACTACCACACCCCGCAGTGGCACACACACACACAGGGCAGAGAGCTGGCAGTACAGTGGCATTGGGGGCACCGTAATTTGAATTCCTAATTCCTTCATGCAGAATCAACCCAACTGCGATCCCCCGAAGCCAAGCCTCCCGCGCGGCCGAGCCACCTTCCGAAGTGTATACCTTCGAAGCGCACGTGCGTCCGCGTGATCACGCTCCCGACTAGCCCGGCTGGGTACAAAGTGAGATCGGATGCCTCGTGATTTCATGGTTTACCCGCCTGTTGATGTTGGGTTACTCGGCATTGTAAGGCGTTTGTCTCGGTGGCGGCGGCTCCGAGAGCGGTCTTTGGGAACGTTCAAGCTTGCTGACGTAAAGCGCTGTGCGCCTCGCACTTCACGCACGTAGTAGACCTACGAAATGCCGCAAACAAAGAGGACTTTTCCAAGGCGGAGGGCCAGGCTCAGTGTCGGTGATCGGTCTGCTGATGTTGGTGCCCTCGACCCCCCCCAACAGAGTTGGCGACCACGCCTCCCCAAGCTGGCGTCGGCACGAAAAGGCTGGTTGTGGGTGTAAAAATCAGCGAGGGCGGCGCGGGAGAGTAAAAGCACCGTTGGTTGTACAGCATCAAGCATGTGTGTGTGGCTTCATGATTCCCATAAGTACTCGCTACGACGGCTCTCTGCTCCTAGGACAATCCCCCTCCATCTGCATCGGGACCATATCCGAAGGGTGTGTGGGGACAACAAACCAACCGCCGCCAGGATAATTCGAGAAGACCATCCTGATTTTTATGAAACCGATACGATTGCGTGTGGCCGTTCTTGGGCTCACCACAACAACAAGGCAGCGCTACCGTAAGCGTCTCGCGCAAGAGGACCTCCGAACATTTCCCCAAACACGGAGCAGACCTACTTACTGCTGTTAGGGTATTGCTTTCGACCACGACAAGAAGCTGCGCACCGAGTGTACGGGTGGGTGGTTCCTTCACGAATCGTCTCTACTACTGCTGTCGTGCCATCTATGCCTTCACCGACTCCCGACAGCAGTGAACACGATCATGAAGGCTGCTGCAGAAGAAGCGGCGTCACAACCCACGCAAAAGGTCGCCGTGTCGCCCGAGAACGCCGACGGGGGCAACAACCAAGCCGCGATTACGCCGGAGTTCCCCCGGGAGACGGCGGGATTCGGGGCGGACAACGACGTCGGTGGCGGCTCAGAAGACGCGGTCACGAGTAGCACCGCCGCCGCCGCTACTCCTCCTCCTGCCCCGACTCCCACCCCGAGTCCCCGGGAGCCGAACGACAAGGACGCCGCGGCCACGCCTGTGTCTACGTTACCAGCGCAGGAATCGGCGCCGGACGCCGCCTCGAGGACAATCTGCCTCCGCCCCCTGCCTGAGACCAAGCCGATCCGCCCACTTTCGAGCCTTGCCGGTTGGGGCGGGGTGACGAAAGCGGCGGCGGCGGCGGCGGCGTCGACAGGCGGGCAAGAAATCGCCGGGAGTGGAACGCCACCTCCTCCGGAAGTCGCTGCTGTTAATGGCCAGGCGGACGCGGTGTTGGTCGGGGAGAAGGTTGGCGGCGGCGGGCTGGGGGTGTTGCCATCGGCGAACAAGGTGGTGGACCTCAGGGAGGTGAAGAAGGTCAAGCCTGGACCGCTCGCGGCGTCGGCCCCAGTGCCCGACGATTCGGAAGGGGAGGAGGAAGGGGCCGGGGGACCGGTCAAGATAGACATATCCGCGGGAAAGCGCATGATAGAGTTCCAGCTGAAGCAGAACGCGGCCGAGGAGAAGAGGGAGGCCGCAAGGGTCAAGAACGAGAAGGGCATGGCAGGTCCGTGTATCGAGGTTTCCACGCGGCATGTTCGAGGCGGGGAGTGCAGGGAGCACCCGGTGCATGTTGCAGGAATGTTCTTCATACTGAGTAGATAGTACAGCGAATCTCTGCCTTTTGGTACGTGGCTTGTGCGTCCGCCTGGGGCCTGTCTTGCATGATTTACCGCTCCGTTTTCTTGTGTCGTTCAAATGGGGGGGGGG